CAACTGAACCTCAAGGACAAACTCACGGAATGTAAATATTCATTGCAAAAAAAAAAAAAAAAAGCACTTTTCCAGCGTTACTTTTGATACCCAAACCGTCTATAGCAATTTTGCGCGCTTGTAGTTGAAGAATTTATTTATTTATTTATTTTTTTTTGCGTACAAAATGCCAGCAGTATTCTGAGCGGATGGATTTAACCTATTTATTTGAATCTAAAAGCAATGTTGTGAGAGTTGTGACGCGGAAATGCCCGTTTTGACGATGACTGGAGAACGTTATGTGTTGTAACGGTCCGCCAATGACGGAAAGTTGACGAACATTTGATCTATTTTTTTTTATTATTCAACAAAATAACGTGATGCTGTCATTAATGAGAAACGCCTTTTCTAGTCCTCACGCGACACCGCGACGCGTCGTTTAGTGTTTTCTGAGGGAGAGTAACGTTAGTGCGCGTTATTCTGAGAGACGGCGTCTGGTGTGCGTTCCTCAGAGGTTCAGTGTGAAGTGTGCGTTCTTCTGAGGGTCAGTGTGTAGTGTGCGTTCTGTTGAGGGACACAGTGGGTATAGTGTGCGTTCTTCTGAGGGTTGATGTTCTGCTGGCCGCTCGTGCTGCTTGTGATGGGCTGCATTCAGAGCATCAGATGCAAACCCAAGAGTTTCCGGGACAGCATCGTGGTTCTGGAGGTGAACTCCTCCATCGACTCGAACCCCACCAGCATCGACGAGTCCTCCGGCGTGGTGCTGCGCTACCGCACGCCGCATTTCCGCGCGTCCGCCAGGGTCGTGGTGCCGCCGGTGGCCGGTAAAGAGAGCTGGACGGTCGGCTGGATCCAGGCGTGCAACCACATGGAGTTTTACAACAAATACGGATCCAAAGGGATGTAAGTATATCTGACACTCAACACAAAGGCTTCACATCACACCGTCTGCCTTTTAAAGCTCAACGTGACATGAATTTATTCATGTATTGCACTGCACTGTATGTATTTATACATTTATAATGACAGAAATAGGGATAATAACAATTTACTACATCTGTACTGCAGAAACAACAGCTGTAGCAACTTTTAGCTGAAGCTTTGCTTGCCATGGTAAATGTTTTAGTTAAGAGAAATGACAGAAAATGCATGTTTTATTGTTCATGTTGCACATTACATGCACTTGCTAACAAAAGTAAATAATGCATAATGGCATGCAACTAACCCTAAGTGTATAGTACATTAATTGTACTTCAGTACTTAATTATATAATTTCACTGTAACAAGGACAGTGTAACCAGAAACGATAATAACAATAACACAGTTTATTATCAGTAATTACAAAGTCATAAAAGCATCCTGTCTTCAGATGTTCAGCATTATTTGTGAATTGCACATGCTCTTGTGCAAATTGCACCTGTTTAGATGAACATCGTTTGAGAAGCTCAAATATGCAGAACACAATCTAAAGTCTCAATGTCTAAACGTTAGAGTCAAACCAATGTGGCAATCAGACATGAGCATGTAGGATCATCTTAAACTCGTCGTTTTGACCGTGTGGAGTGTAAAGCGTGATAATTTGATCATGTATGTGCTTGAGGTGACATTACATAGCCTGCATACCGTTTGAGGTTTCACTTGTCCTACTTCCTGTTGAAGAGACTACACTTTGCCCTATTTCCTGTATGAAACAAAAAATAAACCCTTCGGTGTCTTAAGATATCTGGAGACTGCACGTGCTCAGCCTCCGCATATTCCTGGAAACAAGAGCACAGAAATGATCATGCATTTAAAATAAATGACGGAATGACTGACGTTAAACTTGTAAAAGCAGCCGTTCAACATTAATACTTCATTGTTTAATCACTAGTTCCACTTCCTTTGTAAGTCGATGACATCATATCCTTTACAACAGGTCTTTGCATTTTACTTACAACTGCAAGAATGTATTTGAAAGTGGCGTTTACTGCAGACGGTAAAGTGACATGCACACATTTACTGCGGATATCACAGCATTGGGACAGTTTGCTCTGCAATTTTCCAATTGTTCCTGTTGCAGTGTAAAAAATTGTTAATTAAAAGGTTATTGGAGTAGCTACATGCACAGGAAAATACCATTCCAGTCCTTATACTTCAACATTTTGGTAATTATTTGTGAAATTTACTAGCAATTTCTAAGCAAAAATGGTTTCTATGACATTTCAGCAAACCCGAGTCCATCTGAAGGATCTTTACATTCAAGCACGCTCACAGAATTGCGTGGTAATGCTCTCGACTGATATTTCAGCTGCTGTTCTGGCCTGATAACGCCAGTCCTGTCGAATATTTACACACTCAGGAAACAAGAAAACACTTTCATATCAAGTAATTTTTGAGTCACATTCTCTCTTCACCGTCTGTTCTGCTCATATCGCGTGATTATATGAATTCCAGATCATTCCAGATTATTATTTTACATGAAGACCACAGTAAAGTGTACATTTAAGGCAAGACAGACCAGGTAAATAGTGTAAAATGTTAATTAATAGATCTCACTATATTTTCCCCAGTTGATTAATCACAGTACATTAAGACAATTGTTTTGTATTATAGGTTTTCTGAAATGTTATGCTTACATATGTAAATTAGGCATTATCTAATGAAATATGCATATATGTATTTAGGAGTAAAATCTTGTATAAGTCAGCGTGAATGATATAGTATGAACAAACCACTCAATAAAACCCTTCAGAATAAAGTTTGGTGTATGTAATGACTCCTTAAAGATATGGATTGAAGCTGAATTATGCTGAAAGAGATAAAGTGCAATAAAATAAAGACGTGTTTATTTTGGATGTTTTCTTTCGACTAGCTTGAAAGAAGACATGATTTGGACGGAAAATAGCCTTAAAGGGGTCATATGATGCTGCTAAAAAGAACATTATTTTGTGTAATTGGTGTAATGAAATGTGTTTATGCGGTTTAAAGTAAAAAAACCACATTATTTTCCACATACTGTACATTATTGTTTCTCCTCTATGCCCGACCTTTTTGAAACGCGTAGAATTTTACAAAGCTCATCGGTCTGAAAAGCGAGGTGTGCTGTGATTGGCCAGCTATCCAATGCGTTCTGATTGGCCGAATACCTCACGCGTGTGACGGAAATGTTACGCCCCTCACCATACTGTTGATGCCATGTCCCGGCCGGAGCGACGAGACATAAACATTAAAACTCATTACAAACAAGGCATTTGTTGCATCCAGTGGGGACATAATTACTGATTATAATGACTTATACTGTCTTTTTACGCGTTCCGTTGCATTGCATCGCGCCGCGTAAACATAAAACTCTGTCTGCATTTGTGATCAGAGAAATTACAAACAACAAGTGCTACTATACACTGCCCAAAACTCGCGTTTGAATCATCAGTGGAAAATCCTTTAAGTGAAAACGTACTTACAGTCTGTGAGTCAGAATAGCCGGCATTTTAGTCTAACGTTACTCTCCCAGGATCAGTAAACAGTCCTCCATAAAATGTGCTGCACACATCTGAACATTTGTGCGGCGTTATGCAAATCTTCCCACATAGTGAGGTAGATATGTGGGGGCGTGTTAGAACGAGCCGTTTTAGGTAGGCGTGGGTGACTCTTAACTTTTATAAAGAATATTGAAAATTTTGAAAAATTGAAATCGCATCATATGACCCCTTTAAAATCGACCAGTGCATGAAAAGCAGTGTTTTTGCCTGTATCTTGCCTTAAATGGTTGATTTTCTGAGGTGAACTGAAAGATGCAGGTTTGTATTGTTTGAGATGTTTCCTGTCATGTATTGAGCTGAACTGATGGTGGTTTGAGATGGAAACCACGTGTTACTCAACGGTGGTTCTTTCCATTGGCATTGAAGTGCGTCGTTTCGTTCCAGAGAACATCAGTTGACGTGTCAGAGATCAATCTGATGTTGTCAGTAAATCGTGCTGTTAACATAAATTTGCCTACATCTAACGTACTTATACGGCTGGGCAAAATACCAGCAGTTATGTATGATTATTAACTACATCATTTTAACCCATCATAGTAAGTTTGAGTTTCATATACATGTATTTCAAGTAGATAACTGAGTAAATATATGTTTTGATCTATACAATCCATTAAATGAAAAGCTGATGCATGAAAACATGCAAATTGAGTGATGTTCCAATGAAACAAACGCTTTACACACCAAACAAATGTATCATTCAATGTAAGTTGAGTATACTGGTTATTATATTCATTATATTAAAGTTTTTGAGGACATGTAAACCCAATAAATAACTCACATTAGACATGATTTAATATGAATATTGAGCAATTTTGTCATGAGGGCATTTGGGTGCATACAGCATAAACACACTCACTCACACATACTCGAAGGGTTTCTATTCTTATTCCCCTGACGATAATCAAAGCCCCTCGTGTGTTCATGTCATGTGGCTCTTTCCCATGATGCTCTGCTACTGAGGTGTGAGTTCTGGGAGAAAGGTCACGGTTTTCCTGCATCAGGGAATCGATAGGCCGGCAGCTCTGCGGTTTGTCCCGCTGTCACCTGCGTCTGTGCTGATTCTGCTTTTCGGTGAAGGTCATTGAGAGCGGCTGTGCTCTCAGCATCGCTGCCTTCACTGCTTAAAGGCACAGATCACACCAATCAGACATCTGTGATCATCAGCTCACCGCCTTGACACTTTAGATACGTGTGATTGTCACTCGTTTGTAAAACACGCACGAAGATGTTTAGCAGAATGTTCACGCTGCTCTTTTACACAAAGCATGAATTCTGCTGAGTTCAAAAACTGCCGAATAAACACTGAAGATCATAAATGTAGTTCACATGACACGTCATATCATGCTTTGTGTGTGGAACACATGCACATTGTGTCATTATTATTACTGAAGTCAAATCTCATCCAAACAGCCACATTACAGCCTTGGAACAAATGATGGAGTAAATGATGACAGAACTTTCTTTTTTAGGTGAACTAATTATATACTACCTATACCCTTGTGAAAAAAGAAGTACATTGTAGCACACTTTTAAAAAGAGTACTTACAAAATAATACACTTAACCCCTTAAGCTTGACTATTTCCGTGGACTAGTCACTAGTCATGGAAAAATTACATTTTAAAGCATTAGATTTTAAGGATTATTTGAAGCACAACCTTGATTTGAAATGATTTGTTTCAGTCATTTTGAGTGGAACGTCCCCAAACCCCAAGTGCCTCTCAGAATCTAAAACGCAGTAGACTCATAGGAAAAAGGTGAATAATTACACTGTACAACGAGACCTTAAAATGACCTTTAAATGCACTAAATTGCCGCTTCACCATTACAAATGTGTAATTACAAATATATTTTCATACATGACATACTAGTTTCAATAAAAATGAAATTAAAGTATGTTTTAGGTTTTCATAAATGCTTGTCAGTACATTCACAGTAGTTTAACCATATTTCAAAGACAACAGACCATATGTAGCTCCGCCCCTTTTCAGCACTGCGGTTCCATTTGTATTTCCACAGCATGGAAAGACTGTATGAATTTATGATTGAACTCCTTTTTTAAAATCTTTCCAGTCTGCTGTCATTTATGATGTCTGCTTCAAACATTACAATGCACGTGATAACGTTTGTTACTTATTTGTTCTACAAAAAGTAAATCCACTTCACAAGATAATTACTCTTCAACAGCGATGCTATTGAGCTACCGCAAAAAAACTGCAGTTCAAAGACAATTCTAAAGATGGCTGCGCGCTTGTTGCTCTCCATAAAGTCTACAGAAGGAATTATGAAATTACACATAAATATGTACTTATGTCCTACTTAAGTGGGTAAAAATGCACTCTAAATTTCAGCTCATTTTAATTTTATATAAATTTAAACTATAATACATTTTCATTTAATTGCAGTTAACATGAAGTTAAGTGCCTGAATACATTACATTCAGTTAGACCTTAATCATGGTGTGTTGAAAATAATTTGTTAATGCTTTTACACTTTTAAGGTGAAGGTTGAAGGGTGAGTACAATAATGTCACCTCACTGTACACAGTTTTAAAAAAATGCTTATTATATTGCATTCATAAAGTGAACCTTTTACTGATTGTTTACAGTTTAATGGAAGTTACTCTCATAATTAGCGCATAGGAAAATAGTTGGATACAACTAAAGGTACAATAGGTGATTGTCTTCAGAAATATTTTTGTTATGCTGGTTGAAAGTCTCTTCACATTCTGATAGCAATCAAGTTAAGTGGTCTAAATGTATTTATCTGTAGTTATATATTCTGTAGAAGGCGTAGGACCAAGAAATGTTCGTCCAATCAAAATGTTTGGTCCGAACATTATGAGAGGCTTTCCTACCTGCGTGTCAACATGTGTATGCAAATACATACCTCTGCGCACCCTGTTCGCGCAGACAGGATACGTCATCGGCGCGTTCACGTACGCTATTGCAGACAGAGCAAGAACCTGACCTTCCTTCCTGGTATTGTAGTACTTTACTACAATACGTCACATGTCATTCACACATGGTGAGAAAACTTTATAGTACAGTTAGTAATGTTGTCTCTGGTCATCTGGGCTGTGCGTATATGCCTTCAGGGGGTGTGGCTTTGGAAGGCGATTTGCAGGGAAGGTGGGACGTTTGCTTTCAGTGCTATCAGGCTACAGTTAGCATTTTCCAAGATCTCCTACTGCACCTTTAAGTATCGAGTAATATTAATTAACAACATATACTTAAGATTAGGGTTAAGGTTTACTGTTATTACTATAGTAAGTACATGTAAGGTGTATAACAAGGACACTAACGTAAAGTGCTACATGTTTAAATTATATTAAATGTAATATTTACTAACAAACTATAGTTAAAACACAATTTGAATAACAGTTAATTACAACTAAAACCATAAAAAAATTCTTAACTAAAATAAAATAAATTATAAAAAACGTTTCGTTTAGTTTAAATTGATGTGCTAAAATAACTAAAACTGAATTAAAAATGAAAAACTACTGTATATAGACATTTAAAAACAACAAAAACGAATAAATATTACAGAAATTAACATGGAAGCAAAAAACAGAATCTAATTCGATCTCGACACTTAACGCTGTTTAAAATATACTTCAAAACTTTTAATTTTACATTATTATAATGTATACTTTTTAAAAGTGTACTTAAGGGTGTTCACACTTGGCGTCTTTTTGGACAAGAAAAAGTTGACAAGAGCGCTTTTTTTGTAAAATAAAAAGCTGGCAGCGTTTTGGTTACAAATAGCAGCGGAGGGCATCTTTTGTTGCTATAACAACAGCTGCAACAGTAGCCTAGCGCTATATGGTGCAGAAATGTCGAGAAAGAGTAAAAAGTTGGCTCTTGTGTTGCCTTTTGAAGTTAACGGGGAGAAGAATGTCGGTTCACAACGATGTTTGTGGGTGCGTGACATTATACGGGGAAGGAAACAGTATGGTGCTTAAAACAATTTAGTCCAGGAGCTCCAGTTGAATGATGCATAGGTTTGCTGCATATTTTAGACTAATTTAGATACAGTTTTGTGCTCATATCATATAACTCCTTGTGCTCCGAAACTAGTACGAACTAATCTACCGGCTATCTTTTCCATTTTTCTTGACTCGCCACTCGCTTGTCATTGGCCAGCTGTCAAAAAGGCACTTGACGTAGGGCGTTTTTTTCAGAAAAGTTTAACTTTTTTCAACTTGAAAAGACGCTCTGAGCTGCAGAAAAAAGATGCCGGAGGTGGCATTTTAAAAAGTGCTCAGGACTTTTTTGAAAACACAGTTTACTCCATAGGATTATAATGTAAAGAAAAGTGCCTTCCTTTAAGTGGTCTTTTATTTTATTATTACTATACTAAATGCAAATACAGATTTGTATAAATAAAGCTTTATAATTTGAAGTACACTACAAGTGCACATTCAATACAGTGAAGTGCACTTCATTTTCACGAGGGCAGAGATGTGCCGTGTGAGTTAGATGATGATGCTTGTGTTCGCTGGAGCTGAAAGAGATGTGTGTGTTTGTTCTTTATCAAAGGTCTCTTTTGATGGACGCTCAGACTCACATTCCCGTTCTATGTTTAACTTCCTCTAAGTGCTGGAATAAAAAGCATCTCTCGCCTTTGGCAACCAGTGTTCTGGTTTCTCTAGAGTCAGCGCGCTTCATTCAACCCGAGTCCCTCGCGTTTTCACGCTCTCATCCTCCAGTGTCTCCCGCAGGTCCAGCTGGGAGCTGCCGGATCTCCGAGATGGAAAAATCCAAGCCATCAGCGACTCGGACGGCGTCAACTACCCCTGGTACGGCAACACCACTGAGACCTGCACCATCGTGGGTCCCACCAAAAAGGACACCAAGTTCACCGTCAGCATGAACGACAACTTCTACCCCAGCGTGACGTGGGGCATCCCAGTGAGCGACAGCAGCGTGCCCATGCTCAGCAGCATCTGGAGGGACCAGAGCTTCACCACCTGGCTGGTGGCCATCAACCAAGTGTCGGGCGAGATCCTGGTGCTGCAGACGGTGCGCTGGCGCATGCGTCTGCACATCGAGGTGGATCCCGACAAGCCGCTGGGACAGAGAGCCAGGCTGTGCGAGCCCATCGCGCAGGAGCAGCCGCAGGTGCTGGGGAAGAACGAAGCCATCCCGTCCAACGCCATGGTCAAACCCAACGCCAATGACGCTCAGGTACTGATGTGGCGACCGCGGACGGGCGAGCCGGTGGTGGTCATCCCTCCCAAACACTGAGACCAAAAGCGGTCGGGAATCACTGTGCTAAACGCCGTTGCAAAAAGACAAAGTGGGAATATTACGTCTCGGACGAACGGAAAGAGCATCGATTCACGCTGCCTTAAGTTTACATTGCTTTCACTGCAAACGTTTCGCCTTAAACCGAGTGCAATGCAGTAAACCTTGCACATCCTACCTGTCCGTAGATTTGCACTGGATGTGACCCAGTTAGTCGTGGTCTAACGGGACTGCGATGACCGCCGCGCACACCCAACCAAACGAGGACAGTCATTATGCATTCAGTGTTTTCAGCAGGAGCTTCAGTGTTTTAGTTTTCCGTCAACCAGCCACTTCCAGTGTGTTTTACAAGAGCCGAGAGTCCAAAAATATATCTTTTCTACTACATGTAAATTTGCGGTGTCAGTCAGTGTCAAGACGTCGTGGCCAATCGATAGAGCGAATACACAAACGATCCGTTCTCCTGGTGTTTGAATGAGATGCGTGTGAAAGGCTGCATCTGCTCTCGTCATCGATCTGCTCCTCAAATCAAACTCCATCAGTAGAAGCTGAAAGGAGAAACGTGTCGTTCCCGAATGAATGCGCTGAGAAAATCATGTCCAGGCCACAATTCTGCACAAGAACTAGACATTATTTTCAAGGCAGTACTACAGATATGACCATAATGTACCTCAAAAGTTAGAAATAATTCAGATTTTTAAAATGTTTTTGAAAGAAGTCTCTTCTGTTCAACAAGGCTGCATTTATTTGATGCAGTAAAACAGTGAAGTATTATTCAAATTTAGAATGACTTTTTTCTATGTGAAAAGATAAAGAAAATACCTTCTTTTTTATGGATACTGTGATACACTACTATCAAAAAGAAAGAAATGAATACTTTTATTCAGTAAAAAAAGAGACAATGTTATAAAAGATTTATATTTCAAATAAATGCAGTTTTTTTGAACTTCCCATTCATCTGTGAATCCTGAAAAATAAGATGCATTAGGTTTCCACAAAGATATTTGACAGCGCAACTGTTTTCAACATTGATAATAATCAGAAGTGTTTCTTGAGCAGCAAATCAGCATATTAGAAGGATTTCTGAAGATCATGTGACACTGAAGACTGGAGTAATGATGCTTAAAATCCAGCTTTTTCACAGCAATAACTTACATTTGAACACATATTCAAATAGAAAACAGCTATTCTAAACTGTAATAATATTTCACTGTTTTTACTCTATTTTGTAGCATTGGTGAGCAGAAGAGACTTCTTTCAAAAACATTGAAAAATCTCAATATATTCCAAACTTTTGACCAGTAGTGTGTAAATACTTTAGCATTTTTATAATATATTTTTTGCATTGCAGTGTTGAAAATTTGAGGGAGAACTTGCTTGATATTCATGAAAATGACAATTAAGCACAATTTTTATCCATTCTGCAGCTCAAGATAAAATGCACTTCAGCGCTTCCTGATGCCATGTGTTATTGACCCATTGAAGGCCTTATTACACTGAGATGTGATTGTGTTGATGGACAGATAAGCGTTGATGATGCTATTCAGTCCAGCTGCAGTCAAATGCTGACCAGCATTTATATGCACACGTGGATCCAGCGCCACGACAGACATTGAGCTTTATGTCCATCTTCATCAGTGCCGGACAGCTCAGTCCATACAATACAATCAGTCCAGAGACTGTCCCGTGTGTTTCATTTCATCAATCGCTTTTGGATGATTGAGTTAATCTCACGTGTGTTTGATCCGTTCACATGACGTGAGTCTGCAGGTGTGTGTTTGGACGCTTATATATATATATATATATATATATTTCTGATATTTGTACTTCCAGCAGTTTTATTCATCGTCAGATCAAATACATTCACTATTAAATGTTTGTGTTTATGTCAAGACTCCTCATCTCACATGATTCCTGCTGTTTGGCTTGGAATCACTGTATGTGACACAATATGACATCTGACAGACAATAATATGAATATGAAATAGTAACACTGAATCCCTTCAGCTCCATTTGAAGCACATATTTATACTGCAAGTGTGAATGCGTGTGTGGCATCAGACTCCTTTTTGCTTTCTCTTTTCAGAAGGAACAATGGGATTTTGGGCCGTTTTTATAGCTTGACAATAATACTTGAAAAACAGAAGTGGGAAACATTTCAAACTGTGAAGATGCACATTGTGAGAACAAAACGTTCAAAGACAGCTGAATTTTTCATGAAGAATATAATAAAACTGTGAGATTCAGCACAGTCTCTTGTCTTCGATTCAGTATGAATGTGGCATCGCTGCATTTTGTTTGTTTTGCATCTTTGATCAAATACATTCACTATTAAATGTTTGTGTTTATGTCAAGACTCATCTCACACGATTCCTGCTGTTTGGCTTGGAATCACTGTATGTGACACAATATGACATCTGACAGACAATAATATGAATATGAAATAGTAACACTGAATCCCTTCAGCTCCATTTGAAGCACATATTTATACTGCAAGTGTGAATGCGTGTGTGGCATCAGACTCCTTTTTGCTTTCTCTTTTCAGAAGGAACAATGGGATTTTGGGCCGTTTTTATAGCTTGACAATAATACTTGAAAAACAGAAGTGGGAAACATTTCAAACTGTGAAGATGCACATTGTGAGAACAAAACGTTCAAAGACAGCTGAATTTTTCATGAAGAATATAATAAAACTGTGAGATTCAGCACAGTCTCTTGTCTTCGATTCAGTATGAATGTGGCATCGCTGCATTTTGTTTGTTTTGCATCTTTTAGGTGCATAAAGATCAAATATTAATACTCTGATGAAAGTAGTGAGAGATACAAGAGCTGCAGGATTAATAAAGACATCGACAACCAAACGCACGAACACAAGAGCATGACTGAAGAACGAGAGACTGTATTATTACAGATTTATTACGATATTTTTATTATTAGTCCCATTATGCGCAAAAGTTCAACCCTGCTATCAGATTACATTTTTATTGAAAAACCAACATTGTTCTAATTACAACTCAAGAGATTAATGATAGTTAATGATCCTGGTGTGCAATGGTATTTATTTTTGGAGTTTGTTTATTAAAATTTTTTTCAAAGTTATATTTATGGGCGTTTTCTGCCTTTATTGGGACAGGAAAGCATTGGATGGAGAGAGAGGGGGTGGGATCAGCAATGGACCTCAAGATGGGATTTGAACTTGGGTCACCCTGAGCGCAGTTGCATTGTATAGCGGCGCACTAACCACGAGGCTATTGGTAGTTTTGAAAATAAATACATAAAATGTAAAAAGTTTTATTCATCAAGGAAGCATTAAATTGACCAAAAGTATCAGTAAAGACGTTATAAAATATTTATATTTCAAATAAATGCTGTTCTATTTAACTCTCTTCATCCGTGAATCCTGAAAAATAAAATGTATTATGGTTACCACCAAAATAATCAGCAGCACAACTGTTTTCAACATTGATAATAATCAGAAATGTTACTGGTGCAGCAAATCAGCAGATTAGAATGATTTCTGAAGGATCATGCGACACTGAAGACTGGAGTAAATTATGCTAAAAATTCAGCTTTGTTCACAGGAATAAATTACATTTTACAATATGTTTGAAATAAATGCAACCTTGGTGAGCAGAAGAGAATTCTTTCAGAAACATTAAAACAACTTATTTAGCCCAAACTTTTATTTTATAGTATAAATGCTTTTACAGTGGTTGCGATTTATTAGTCACACTGGCGTCAGATCTTCCTGTATTCTCGCTGTAAGCAGATAATCTGCAGACGGTTTCATCACAGTCTCCAGTGGATTTAAGCACGCTTGATAATGGAGCGTATTATACTGTTATCCGTGGATGAAGACGGGGCTTAAACTAGAGAGAGACAGAGATTAACAGACTCAATCCCAGACGCAGACAATCCAGCGGCATGATGGGATTGATCTCTATCTGATCATCTGCAAACAAGATGAAAATACAAACTAGACAGTGACTGAAGAGCAGACGCTCGCAGAGCTGCATGCACATTCGTCTGCATTCACTGCTATATTTACACGCTTCTCCCCTGCACCTGTCCCATTCTATAAACACGTATAATCTATAAGATAATAATACATACAGACGCCAGACGCTCATGTGGGAAAACAAAACCTCTAATACCTGAGGAACTAGAGGATGATGCTAGTCAATGCATTTTGATGAAGTGCAGACAGGGTCAAAGGTCAATGAGCTTGACACGCACGCCTATCAGCCTCAGCAACAAACAAAGATGGGATCAGGGGATGTCGGGTAAATTTTAAGTGTAGCTTCAAGCAAACTCTGTTTTTTCAGGTTCAAGAAGATAGCTGTTTTTTAGCTGTGTTCGCTGCAATGGTAACTTACACTAAACCGCTAACCAAAACTGGAGCTGTGAGCAAACTGACATATCTGAGCTCACAGTGAAAGTGTTTTAGAGAAGAAATCACCTGGCTTCTGCTGCTAATTATTGAGTACTTACTTTTTTTTTTGAAGTCACAAAATAAACCCAAATTTACGTGTAGTAGCTACTCAGAGTGTCGAACCAACCTTGAGTGATTCCACTGATATTGTTCTTCGGTGTCGTGACTGATATTCTCTTTGAGGAAACCATAATGTTGGACTGTAATCAACTCCCATCAGAACACTCAGGCAACCCTCTACATTGCGAGTAAATCACTCGCATATGCGACTAAATGATCGCCAGTGTGTGAGTTGGAGGCTGAGTATAAGTTTAGCACATACATTTTCATTCACCAAACACACTGACTGAGCGCTTCAGAGTTTCACTCTCCGTCAAGCGATCTGTGATATTTTTCAGTTCATCTCTATGGATGCGCCGCGCACCTGTGTTTGTGTATTCGGCGTACCGTAAACTCTAGTGTGAATTAAGGCGCACTACTCGCCGTCGCTTTCTCTCGAGCGAGAGAGTCTTACATAACATGCAGAATTGATGCGCAACATGTAAACGATATTCTTTGTTGTATTTTTCTGTCAAAATAATGGAGTTCCTTTGGAATTCTTCAGCATTTAAGAACTGCCGGGTTCTCCGGTAGTGGGCGGAGCTAATGCGCAAACGGCAATCTCATTGGCTGGCACTCACTTATAATCGTCCCTGTTTTGATTTCAGCAAATCAGTTCGAGCAAACGCACACAACCGGATTAATATTCATGAATCCAGCAGCTCGTTAATCCTTGGTGTTTCGCATATTGTTCTTATTAGTAGAATTTGATAATATCTTATCAGTATTATTGTTAGTTTTTTCCAATTTTTTACAGGAACACCAAATGACCAAAAAAAGCACCACCACCAGTCCTAAATTCAGTTGAAATGACTAATTTGCATTCATACACGGTTACCAAGTTTTAATGACTAAACTTCTATTATTAAATAATACTTGATTATCATATTATAATGCTTGACTGCTTGATGTTAAGAGTGTACTTTCAGATATTTAATAGTAAACAAAAAAAATGTACTAGGGTTGGGACAGCCCGACATGAATAAAACACCACGGCTGATCTAGCTTTCCTGAATCTGACTCTCATTATCCAGGAGGGATTTACAGATATGATGGAAAACAAGGGCAGGATTACTAAGGTGCTTTATCATCATCAGTGAATCTGCTGCAGGATCCACCTGTTCTCAGTCAAACATCACAAACAACCTGCAGCTTTGTGCTTGTTGAATAAAAGCAAAGTCCGTCATAAACGACAGATGAA